TCTTCTACTTAATAATTGATTCTTGAGTATTTAACTATTTAATCCGGAGTTCTACTAGGTATATCTAAGAACTAAGTCGTAAAAAGCTAAACAGAATGTGATTATTCAAAGATATGGTTTGTCACGTGGTCAAAACAGGAATTTTCCTGCCTAAAACTAACTAAAATTCTACTAAAATAAACTATAGAAATCACTACAATGGTTTAGATATATCTAATCCACTTGCCAAACTACAGGATCCTCTATCACGTTGGGGACTCCCTTGTAAAGCTCAAAAGTGTTTGTGAAAACCTTTTGCTGAGTGTGGAAAGGGATGAATGAGGATACCTCTGCCTTTCCTGGATCACTAGACACTAGACAAGCCCACCAATCTCAGATTGGAAGGTTTAATAAAGTGATAGTGGAGTGTATCAAAAGATAACTGTGGCTTAACAGGTGGACAAAGGGTTTAACCCAGTTTTATATAGGTCTAAGAGGTTGATTTGAGAATGAGAGAGTGAGTCTAGCTGATATTTCAATGGTAAGGGGATGGTATGTAATGGTATGTAAGGGTTGTAAGGGGAGGGGGTATGAAATAGGTGGATACTAAACTGAGGGGAAAACAACTGAGAGGAGAGCCTCTTAAATACACAAAGGTGAGGGATTTTAGCTTCAGGGGAACAAGAGAATGAGAAATTTTAGCTGGCCAGAGCTTTACAATGAGGGGATTTAGCTAGTCAGAACATGTACATGAGGTATTTTGGCTGGTTGAGCAACCTCCATGATGTCATAAGAGTTCTTTTAGCTTGAACTAGAAGTCTACATGAGGGTTTTATGCTGGTGTAGCATTTTACATGAGATGATGTGCTAGTCTGCAAGCTAAGGTGAGGTGATGAATATTACATGAGTGGTGTGAGATAGTCTGACAGCTGCAAGGAAGATTAACAAATGACATGACAACCTGCATGATGTCACTTGTAAATCCAGAGTGGTACCAGACCAACACTGCATGTGTCAACTGTCAGAAGATAGTGGAGTGGTGTGTATACATGTACTATAATGGTGTGAGAGTGTATGTAGTTGTCCTGCAATGTACATATGTATAGTGTGAGTTATGTAATTTGTTGGTGTTGTTGAGTGTTGAAGTGTTGCCATGGTGGTGAGTTGTGTAATTGAGTGTAGTGATGGTCCAGAGGGTGTAGCTTCCAATCCAGTTGAGTTCCAGTGACGCCTCCAGTGGCAACCAAGGGTGAAATTGACCATAGAATCCAGTTCTTGAGCCATAATGGTTGAATTGTGAGTGTATATATGAGAAAAAAAGGTGTAAAAAGTATGTAATTTGTAATAAAAGAAAAAACTGTAAAATTTTTAAATGGGCCAGATGGCTACCCTTAAGGTATACCACAGCGTAGCAGAATTCTGCCACATCTTGCACTAACACTACATGCATAGGCCCCAAAAAAGGGCCCACTACGCTATGCTAACCCGCTGGTTAGTGTCAGCCTTAGAGCCAACCAAGTTAGCCAAAAGACTAGAGATGGTCACGGATAATCCGCAGCGGATATCCGCTATCCGCTGGCGGATACCCGCCAGTGCCAGCGGATACCTGCCAGCGGGTGCGGTTTTGGCTGCGGATGGCTGTTTTTCCGCCCAAACCTGGCGGATATCCGGGTATCCCAAGGGATACCCGGTGCCAAGAGAGGCAACACCGCCGGAGGCGGTGCTTGAGTACTGGCCTGAGTTGTCGGCCTCTCGTCGGGAGAAACCTCTCCCGACGAGAGGGTATTCATCCCAGCTCGCC